TGACCTGCGCCCGTCAGCTGGGAGGTCTGGAGACGGAGCCAGCTGGCGTGGAGGGCGATGGGGAAGCGGTGGCTCGGCGGGCGGGGTCCTGCCTGCGCACGAATGTCAGGCCCACCCGCCCCATCTGTAAAAGAAAACGTCTTCCGCCCAAGCATAACCTTTAAGGATTTTAAGGATCTTTGAGAGAGAGAGAGAAATAGAGGGAGAGAAAGAGGGAAAGAGAAATAGTATAGTACCGGTATGTGTGTCTTATGGTCAGGTGCGTCTTATAGAGCGAAAAATACGGTAAGCTTAATTCTGATATTGGCCTGTAATTGAATAAAACTCTGCTTAGCCTTGCCTCACCAAAAAATTCTACATCTGGGTATCACAGGGCTGTATGTGCAGAAGCTTCTGTACAAAGCTAGTATGTAAGAAAATTCTGGATTACTATGACTGCCATTTGTTTCAACAATTGTTCTAACAGCTAAGAATTTTTCTCTTATTTAATATATTATTTATTTATTATAAAGGCTTACATGTCTCATGAATCATAGAACTGTAAGCCATTTTTAGTAACATAATACTGCAAAATAAATAATGTAGTAAATATGCAATTCTCATCCAGCTCAATATATTAATAATAAATATCCATAACCTATCAGATAGAATGCATAGGAACATATATATTTATATAGCACCCTTCTTTCTGTTCCAGAAATACAAACCAGTGTACTCCATTATTCAGTCCATGAAGGTTCCATGGACAAGCAATGATTAAACAGCTTTCTAAATGTCATCAGGAAAGAGGATGTCTTCATCTTATGGAGCAAGCTGCTCTAGAAGCAGAGAAACATAACAAAGAATGATCATTTCTGAGACCCCACCACTCTAATCACGGGAGTTCACAGCATGTCTTCTCTGTTAAATTAAACTGAGATGTCTGATTCTAAATGGAGTAGACATTCCCAATCATATAGAATTTTATATATAAGCAATAATAAGCAGTGTGAATTACATCTAGAAGAAAAGCAGCTGCCACAGTAGAAGTGTTACCTGACTATAACAGCTCTTTCCTGTTACCTAGCAAACTACTGCATTCTGCATCAGTACTAACTTCAAATAGAATAGAATAGAATAGAATAGAATAGAATAGAATAGAATAGAATAGAATAGAATAGAATAGAATCTGGAAGAGACCTTAGATGTCTTCTAGTTCAGCCCCCTGCTCTAGCAGGAGAACCTATACCATTTCAGACAAGTGACTATCCAGTCTCTTCTTAAAAATCTCCAGTGATGGAGTGCCCATGATTTCTAAAGGCAAGCTGTTCCACTGGTTAATTGTCCTCACTGTTAGGAAGTTTCTCCTTAATTCCAGGTTGCTTCTCTCTTTCAAACCATTATTTCTTGTCTTGCCCTCTGGTGCTTTGGAGAATAGTCTGATCCCCTCTTCTTTGTGGCAGCCCTGCAAATACTTGAATACTGCTATCATGTCACCCTTATTTCTTCTTTTCTTTAGACTAGCCAAATCCAAGTCCTCAGCCGTTCTTCATATGTTTTAGTCTCCAGGCCTTTTATCATTTTAGTTATTCTTCCAAGGTCTCAACATCTTTTTTGTAGTATGGTGACCAAAACTGGTTGCAGTATTCCAGGTGTGGTCTTACCAGGGTTCTATAAAGTGGCACTAATACTTTGCATGATCTTGATTCTATGCCTCTATTTATACAACCCAGGATTATATTAGCTTTTTTGGTGGCTGCTGCTGCATACTGCTGGCTCATAGTCAAGTGATTGTCCACTAGGACTCCAAGGTCCTTCTCACAGTTTCTGCTTTTGATTAGGTCTCACCTAATCTGTACTTAAACCTTTGATTTTTCCTGCCTAAATGTAAAACTTTGCTTTTCTCCACAACTCATTTTGTTGGATGCCCATTTTTCAAGTTTGTCAAGATCTTTTTGGACCCTGAGCTTGTCTTCTGGGGTGTTGGCTATTCCTGCCAGTTTGGTGTCATCTGAAAATCTGATGAGCTCCCCTTCTATTCCCTCATCTAAGTCATTAATGAAGACATTGAACAATACTGGGCCTAAGACAGAGCCTTGTGGTACCTCACTGCTTACTTCTCTCAATGTGGATATAGTCCCATTGAGGACTACTCACTGAGTAAAGTTTGTCAACCAGCTACAGATCCATCTGATGGTGTTGTTGTCTATCCCACTTTTTTCTAGTTTACTAAGCAGCAGGTTGCTTTGTTAAATGCCTTACTGAAGTCTAAGTATACTATGTCCACAGTGTTTTGCTGGTCTACTAATTTAGTCACTTTATCAAAGAATGAAATAAGATTGGTTTGGCATGATCTGTTTTTGACAAACCTTTGTTGACTACTTTGTTTGCTTCTAGTCTCTAGGGGCAACCCCACAAATTACAGCATTATAATTGTGAAGTGCAAAAGCATGAGGGACCATTGCAGCTACTTCCATTTAAGGAACTGGACTGTAACTAGAACACCAGTTCTATATAAAGTCAGAACTTTCACATACTCTTCAACTTTGAGAGCCTTGAGGTTACATGTCTGTTTCTTCAGAATAAGACCAACTGTCATATGTCTGACTAATGAAACACTTCAAAGACTTTCAGGCATGATTTAACCTAAAAAGCCTTTATTAGTGTAGAGGAGTGTCAGCACGGCATGGAGAATGCCAAGATCTGAATTTCCCTTCCTTTGCACATAACATTCCAGGAATTTCCCCTCCCCTATTTTGGGGTCATGATTCACATCTTCCAATTAACCTGGAGGGCAAAGATTCACTTCCATTCCCTTCCGTGGGCTTTTCTCTCCTTTCTCATTCTTATCTGAATTAACTCTAAAAGTACCAGACAGTTCTGCATATTTTGTCAAAGCAAGAATATTCAATATTAGCAGCGTTGACATCAACTTTGCCTGGAGTTAAGGACAGAGAGAGGCAGGTAGAGATAGAGAGACAGATGGTTTCCAAATCAGCTACCCTTATATTTCGATGAGATTACTCCTAGGTGTATTTCTCCTCATCCAGGCATTGTGAAGACTTCCAGTACAGCTCCTACTTGAGCCCAGGGTGAAGATATACACTAGATATCACTAGCATTCTAATGATGCCTAATCTTGTGCTACTGGATAATATAATTTAGCAGCTTGGTGCAAATGTTGAACATTGTAAGGGAGAGTACCAAGTTCTGTGGGACCACATCTTAATAATGATCCGACTACAAAAGAATTTCCCCGAACTTTTGCAGAGAACCTAAATGAATACCATGTTCAATGGCATCAAATGTGACCAAAAGATGCAGCAGAACCAAGAGAGTTGAAGTCCCTCTACTGAAATCCTGCAACAGGTACAACTGAAGTACAATCAATATGATTGCTATCCATTCCATTCCAGTTAATCCTGACTGAAAGGCACCCAGATAATCCATTTCATCCAGAGCCCCCCATAGCTTTTCAATAATTTTTCCCAGACACATAAAGTTGGAGACAGAACACTCGTGATAGTCAAGGGATAGCTTCTTGAGGACAGGATACCAAAAAAAAGTAATGGCTTCTTACAATGCAGGACATCTACCCCACATACTCCAAGATGAGTTTACCATAGTCTGAATCCCCCATGGCAATGTACCAGTCCATTGTCTCCTCCATGGCAATTCACAAGATCAGGTGAGGCAAGGATTTAGCCCATAGATCACAAAACACCTTATCTACTTCCTTATTTATTTTAGTTAAAACATGTATATAGCCATCTGTCCTATAACAAACTCTGGGTTTCCACTTCCTTGGAATCCAGACACACAAATGAGATTTACTTATATTTTATATTTATTTAGAATTTAGATTTCTAGGGCATCTATCTCATTACAAACTCTGGACAACATACAGAGTTAGAAAAACCTAACAGAATATAGTAAACAGCCAAAAATAAAATATGATTTTAACAGGGGCCACAATTTTTTATATAAATATGTAAAACCCATGCTATTTTAGACATCTCCTTCCTAACACAAGATGTTTGGATTGGCTCTGTGGGACAAATATTGTTCTTACAAATAAATTGTTGCAACCCTTCTTCCATTATTTTTAGATTTTATATATTCTTTTAAGATTGCAATAGGTTCTACTATGTACGCAGCAATGAAGAAAAAATGGCATATAGGCACATTCCTCACAATAACTGTGTTCAGTTTTTTTTCTTTTTTGACAGGACATCAGTATATGCTTGCCTATTTCAGTTTTCATTGTTTTTTAAGACTTAAATATGTAGGTGATAATTGAATATACTGTATAACAATTTATATTAAGGTAACCATTGAAAACATGGAAACCTTCCCTCATTAATATTTATGTCAAAGAAATTCTTCATATTTGCAGAAAAGATTTGCATATCAGGCAACTCACTTTAGGGTGAGTTGCATAAAATCTGGGCCCCTGGAGCTCACCTTCAAAGGTTTCAAACTGAACTTGGTGCCATCAAATCAATCAACAATAGTATGTCTTTCCAGCCCAATGGATGCCATATTACTATATCAATCCCTCTAATGTACAGAAAAGTTTTAGGCTTGATCATCATAATCAGAATGCATGACTTGAAGAATTTATCTGAAAGAAGGGTTTGAAGCAGACTCTCCTTGTTCTTACCCTTTTGCACTCTTGTCTGTCTTCTCCGGAATATGATTGCCAGCTTGATTTAGACTGCTGCTTGTTCAAAATCCTTTCTACTCAGGAAAATCAGAGCCTTATTAAACTTTTTTCATCTGCCCATTCTCATCACCATCACCATCACCATCACCATCACCACCACCACCACCACCACCACCACCACCACCACCACCACTATTTCTTTCTTGCTGCATATTACTTCAGTCATTCACATGCACGTATAAACACATTTATTTATGCAATTTATAGGTTTTCTGACTCCAGAAGACTCTGGGGAGTTACCAATTAAAAATTACAAAACAACATATAACAAAAAAAAGTAGTCCGGGCTCAATCTTCAAGCTAAGTCTTTTATAGCTTTCTGATCATTACAGTGGGAGGTCTCTGGACCTCCAGGAACCAACAAGTAATCGATGTAGCTCATAGGGTCACATAGGTGTAATGAAGCATGCCTAACAATGTCCATGTTGCTGCATTTTGTACCAGCTGTAATTTCCAAGTGAATTTCAAGGGCAGCTACATGTATAAGAAAGAAGTATAGCTAAGGCTTCACAGTCATGTCCATGTTCTATCCCTGACAACAATATGCAAATAATTTCCAAGATATTTTGACTTCCAATCTAACTATAGCCTGGGATCTCACTATGGTCTCCCATCCAATTAATATCTAGGTCTAGCTCTGCTTAGCTGTTAAGTTCAGTTAAGATTACTTTGTTGCTACTACTTTATTTCAAATGCACATTTTAAAAAAATTAAAAATTTTCTATTTGAACTCTCACACATGTATAAGCCCATTGCTTTTCTTCACTATCCTGCAACTGATGCTCATTAAAGAAGCTCTAGATACACCCAACATCTTAATATTTGCAGAGATCCTCATTTTCCACTGAGAGATGGGAAAAAGTTTATTCATGATAACCAAAATAAATCCAAAGTATATCAAGAATCCTATAATTATAATGTTTTACTAGGAAACATATTGGGAAGCTGTTTTCTATAAAAATTAAATGCACCTACCACACACTTTCATTCAGAGATTTACATTAATGACAATGCCATTTTGAAATGTAGTTTATGATAGACAAATTCTTATTTCTGATTTCTAACATCCATTCAAAAATATATAAATTCTATAGCTTTTTTCCTTGTATTTCAGAATACTGTATCAACTTATTGATGAATACTGATTGCCTATAAGAGGCTCATTTGCAAAACACCAGTCAGATTTCAAAACACTCTTAATGTGAGACAGAGAATAGAAAGTATCTCTTCAATATATAATTTTTATGACTTCCATTTGGGTATGGTCATTCTCTACAAATCAGGTTGCTACCAGACAGAATTATTTATATTAATTGTTTCAAATTGGCATGTGAGTTTTTAAATTAAACTCTACTCTCATATTTTTAAAAAAACGTTTACTCAAATGACAAAACATTTTGCTTTCTTAAATTACACTCATGTTCCTGGACAAGAAGCAAATAAAAACCGTATCCATGACAAATCAATTGATAAGTCAAGTACCATTTTCCCACAATTTACATCAGGCTGTTCCTTTCAGGAACAATATCTTGCACATCTTGTAACAAACACTGACTGGTGGGGCCTAGAAAGAGACCCTTTTCTGTTGTTGTCCCCGCCCTATGGAATACTTTTCTCCCAGAGATCAGGCAGGCTCCCACATTAGTGGACTTCTGAAAAACAGTTTGGTCTAGTTAAGGCATCACGCTAGAAACTGAGAGGCAGTGAGTTCCAATCCTGCCTTAGTCATGAAAGCCAGTTGGTGACATTGGACCAGTCACTATTGTTGTGTTTTCGGTTCGCTAGCAATTGACAAAGACGCATGGTGAAAACAACAAGCTCTTTATTACACACTCCTACAACCAAGCAAGCAGCAAAAGGCACGCAGGCCTTTTATAGTGCCTGAAACCCGGACAGTGTGAACCAATTGGAATTTACCCTTTTACCAATAGGAATTTACCCTGGCGCCACTCTGTCTGGTCCCGGGCAGCTTTTTGGATTGCCCGGGACCATTTGCAACAATTCTGAGCCTGCTATCAGCTCTTGCAGGCTCAGGACACAACACCCCTCCCCCCTAGATGAAACACACCTGGCTTACGCACAGGTGCATTGTGCAATGTAGGGATGGTGGACACAGATGCATTATTCAAATGCAAGGAGGGTGGAAATGCTCGGGTCTGCACGCAGGTAAACCCCTTTCAAAATAATTAATAACTCAATTAAAATATATCCTAAATCAAAATAGCATATGAGACTCTTACTGAGTGTTACCCCCTCATTCAGTGACCTCATAGCAAGGTTCCTCCAGTGTTGACAGAAACCTCACATAATCTCCCAGATGTTTAGGTTGGCACTTGGCCCGCTGCGACCTTCTAAGGGCTGGTGAGGGTGCCTGGCCTACCTGCTCGCCTACCAGACTAGGCAGGCCAGGACTTTGATGCCCCAAATACCCAGGTGCCCCCCCCAGCTGCTGACTGGCTGGACCCTCTGAGTCCAAGCCAGTGTACCTTGGAGGGGTGGAAGTCCCCGAGTCCACAATGGACTTCTCTTGGGAACACTGTCCCTCGAGCCCAAGACCAGCAGGTGAAGAGGCCTGAGTGGCAGAAGTGCCCCAGTACTCCGTAGCCCCCGAGCACGTGCCAGAGGTGCTAGAGTCAGGAGCCGCCTCCATGGCAAACCCCCTTGCTACTCACTTCCTTTTTGGAGCAATAGCTGAATTATGAGAGTGCCCCTGATGGAATTCCCTTTCTATGGCTGTGTTTGATTTATGTGGATACCCCCGGTCTGTCTCCCTGTCTGGAGCAATAACGGATGTGCGGGATGACCCCCTATCCTGGGAATTCCTGTTTGGAGCACTTGCGAAGAATGCAGCCATCATCCAAGACAACTTCGTGTGACAGCAGCCCAGAGACCTTGCAGACCACTGCTGTGACCCAGAGATGTCCCGGCTATAGTTCCTTGCCCAAACTGGATTGCCCACCTGAAGTCTCCTAAGTGCCCGCGGTTGTGACACCTGTGAAGCCACCCGATCTGGGTGCAACCTGTCCAGTTTGGTGATGAGGCGGCGACCCCAGTGGAGTTCTGGAGGGCTCTTCCCTGTGGCTGTGCAAGGTGTGGTGTGGTGTGCAAGAAGGAAATCTGCTAACCTGTGATGCCAGTTACCGTAAGTCAGTTTCTTGAGAGCATCTTTGGTAGTGCGCATCATTCTCTCTGCCTGTCCGTTGGAGGATGGGTGGAAGGGAGCAGAAGTCGCATGCTGGATCAAGTTGGCCTGAAGAAAAGCCTGGAACTCAAAAGAGGTAAATTGAGGGCCATTATCTGGGCCATTGTATATATTGATGTTATATATATATGTATATGTATATGTATATGTATATGTATATGTATTTGTATATGTATATGTATATGTATATGTATATGTATGTATGTAGATAGATAGATAGATATAGATATAGATATAGATATTGATATATCTGTATAGATAGATAGATAGATAGATAGATAGATAGATAGATAGATAGAAAGATAGATAGATAAATAGATATAGATATATTGATAGATATAGATAGATATATTGATAGATAGATACTGTTAGATCGCGCAGGCAGTAAGACACGAGTCGAGTGACAGTCAGCTCTCGGTTTATTGGCAAGGCATAAAGTAAATCCGGACTGGCATCTGGGCCAGGGGAGCCCTCTTTTATGGGATTCCCCTGGCTTGTAATCACACAATTCCATTGGCTGGTAAGACCCCATTGCTAGTTAGCCAACCAGCAACGGGCATGANTCGTAGGATCTGGGCCCGGCGATAGAGATGATGGTCGCTTTCACCCACTTCGGCTCCCCCACGTGATTAAGGGCATACACTAAATCCCCCTCCGTAAAACCCCGAGTTACCTTTCTGGATTCCGGTGGCGTGTCCGTTTGGTAGCTGGGATGGAGGCGATCCAGGGGTGACCTCAGTCGGCGACCCATCAACATCTCCGTTGGGCTCCGGCCGGTGGCGGCGCAGGGCGTGTTGTGCTGCACCAGGAGGAACTGTTCGAGCGTTTCTCGCCGTGCGCTGGCCCCCATTCTGGTGAGCGCTTCCTTGGTGAGCCTCACCATCCGTTCCGCCCGTCCGTTGCTCTGAGGGCTGTAGGGCGTGATCAGCGTGTGACGGATGCCCAAGTTCGCCAGGTAATCCGTGGGTCGCGAACAGTCCGTCCAGGGCCTTGATGGTAGCACTCGTTGTGGTGGACAGCATGGGGATCACCTCCAACCACTTCGAGTAGGCATCCACCGTTATTAAATAAGATCGGCCCTCCACGGGGCCGGCAAAGTCAACGTGGAGACGGGACCACGGTACTCGTGGGATCTCCCACTCCAATGGGGTTGCTTTCGGTGGGGCTGAGCGGGATTCCTGGCAAGGCTCGCAGGTGGCTACCCACTCCTGTATGTCCTTGTCCAGCTGTGGCCACCACAAATAGCTCCGAGCCAGCGCTTTCATACGCACGATCCCCGGGTGCCCCACGTGTAAGATATTAATCACCTTTTTCCGTAGGGCTTGTGGGATCACGACTCTTTCCCCCCATAGTACACAACCCTTACACACAGAGTGTTCCGTTCTTTTGGCGAAGAACGGCTTGGAGTCCTCTCCTTCCGCCTCCTGCGGCCACCCCCTCAACACCCAGTTCAAAACCCTTCCCAACAGTTTGTCTTTCTTGGTGTGCTCTGCAACATCTCTCGAGGTGACCGGGCTGGAGGAGTCGACGTCCACCAGGAGCACGGTGGCAAACGGTGCTGGGTCGGCGATGTGGCCGGGTGTTGGGCATCGGCTGAGAGCGTCTGCGTGGCTGATGCTGGCCCCGGGTTTGTGGATCAACTCGTAGTCGTACCCCGCGAGGAATATTGACCAACGGATCAATCTGGGTGACAGGAATTGGGGAGTCTATTTGTCCCCCGCCAGCAGTCCCAGTAGAGGCTTGTGGTCCGTGATGACCCGGAAATGCCTTCCATATAGGTACTCGTGGAATCGCTTTGTGCTAGCCACGATGGCGAGGGCCTCTTTGTCCAGCTGGCTGTAGTTTCGCTCAGCTGGGGACATAGTCTTGGAATAGTAGGCTATCGGTGCCTCTCTGCCATTGGGTAGA